GGGAGTGTGTCCTCTCCCTGAGCTGACTGCCAGCAGTCTGGGGAAGAGTTGAATGTGTTCATGCCTGGAAACCCAAACTTGTGAATCTGGTTGCTGGTGGCCATTTCACCTCAGTAGTCATCTCAAAAATGACTGAAGGGCTCCTGGCTGCCAGGCACAGGCTCTGTGGCTACAGTAGTGGTTGTGAAAGGCCCAGATGGCTCCAGGGAGCCCACGAGGCTCACCTGGGACCTCTCAGGCATCTGCTCCCTCAGGGTGAGGGGCACTGTGGGAGGGCGTCTTTCTAAACATGTGAAGTGACCTCCTCTTCTGAGGTAATAGCTGGTGGTTGGATGAGAAGACAGAGGAGTCCCCAGACCGTCAGACAGACAACAGGTGAATGCTGGAGACTGAGACCCGAGTATCCCGGATGTCCCTGGAACAACCAGGGATTTTCTGTCCCCAAAGGAAGTCACTGGGACTCCCAAGTGTTTGCGACTGAACTGGCCATAAATCAGCCTCGTCACCTCAGTCGTATTTGCTTTAGTAGGTCGAAAGATAAATCTGTCATCTCCCTTATCCCTGTGAGTACAGATCCAAATCCTCTCTTCTATGAGGGGCATCAAGCAAACTGGAGAGGGAAGCCAGGCACGTCCAGGGGGGATGTTCCCCGGGAGGACAGATGTCATGAATAAACATGAACACACCGTGTGTGCCCTACAAGCAGGAGCTGACCACACCCAGGGCCGACGCCCAATCTTTTCAGTCCTTGGAAAGCAGTGCTACCGCTAGGTGCAGCCTTGTGTTCCCAAGTTCTGAGCATACTCTCCCGTTGGTCAGCCAGCCACCTTTGGCCTCATCTACGAGACTTGTCTCTACCTACCCAGGCTGCTCCGATGCAAACTGTGCTTAGCCTGGCCCAGCTTGCCCTGCACAGATTGAGACACTTTCAAAAGGATGAGCAATGATGCCCTCCAGACGACCTATTGCTACACTACACACACACACACACACACCACCACACACACACACATGCGCAGGCACCCATGCATACATGTGCATGCACACATACACAAACATGCACACACGCATGCATGCACGTGCACATGTACAACACGCATACTCTCTCACACACACACATACATGCATGCATACATACATGTTCATGCACACATACACATAAACATGCACACATACATGCAGGCAGGCACTCACAAGCACACACATATACAGCACACACGCATGTATGCGCATGCACATGTACAACACACACATACTCTCTTTCTCTCTCACACACACACAAACCACAGACACACACCACACACAAATGTTCATTTTGTTACAGAATAAGGCCTCTGCATGCATCCCTACCTGCAGCAGCCAAGCTCGTGGCCCAGGCCCACATGTTCTCACTCCCAGCTTACAAGGAAAAGACAAACTTACTAAAGAAGAGAAAATAGAACCAATTTCCACTCCCCCTTAATGAGATGAAATCAATAGATAAAACAAAGAAAGGATAACCCACCCGGGCTATTAATTAGAAAGTGCAAAGTAGATGCTCTGCCCCAATTCCCTTGCAGTTGAAAAGTCAAAACGTATATTCATTAAAATGAGGCTCTTAGCATGTGTCCCCCGCTGTGGAATGTCAGGGGTTTTATCTAGACGTCCTGATGCTTGACTGTAATCATTCTAACCACAGGCTTTGCATATCTCTCTTAAAGCAGGCCTTCATGCCCCTGCGGTTCAGATCATACCCTGCCTTCCTTAATTTCAGTGACAACCACCCCCTTGCCACAGATATGCACCACTAATCAAAGACCTCAGCAAGGAGCAAGAGATGGGGGAACCGGCCTCAGAAGTGTCAGGGTCAGGGACTGGCTACAAGAGACACACTTCAAAACAGACGCAAGGGGTTCTTATTAGCTGAGGCTGTGGACTTGGCTACAGCTCCAAGGTTTACTCAGGAGCAAAGAGCTGAGGCAACATGAAAGTGTCCCCTGTAAGTGACCATTGGAAATTATCACCTGTCAAACTGCCCACCTATTTATCTTCTGCATCCGCCTGGGAGGTGGCACCTGTGTCTAGGAGCCAGGTCCTACCTAGAGAGGCCAGGAGCCTCTGAATCACAGCAGGTTTCAAATGAAGCCCAAAATCCTGGAAAACCGTGTGAGGTGGGGCGGCGGGGGTGACCAGTCCTGGAAAACAGCGTCGCCAAGCAGGCCCTGGGAGAGGCTTCTTCAGTGTTGTGAAACGGATGGGAATTGAGGTTGGAGACAGTGTACATATTCAAACTCACCTGCATGAAGAGAGACCCCTGGCAGAGTGGCTGTAACCGCCTTTCGAAACGCCAATGATTTCTAAATGTTCTTTGAAAATATCACACATGCACCTTTACTTATCGTGAGCATGGTGGGGGTGTGCGTGTCATGTGTACATTGGGAGAATTTACAAAAGCCTTTACTATGGGGGTTCCAGGGGAAATACAGACTCATGAATTCAGGACAAGAGGAGGCCACCGTGGATCCAGCTGCCCTGTCCCGCCATTCTGCCCAGGGGAGATGTGAGCAGCCACAAGCAAGGCTTGCATCAGCTCTGACCTCCCAAGAGAGAGAGTGACCACCCCCCTCCTTACAAGAGGTCACATCCCGCAGACATGAGGCCACTTCCCCACAGCTCACAGGGCTGAGTGTAGAGCCTACTCCCAGAGAGCTGGGATCCAGTAAAGACCTGCCTCATCATTTTGGAAGTGAGAATTTAGCTGGGATCTTCTCATCATCCCCCTCCCTGGTGGTCCTATGAAAGGGAAACAGACGGTGAATATTATATAAGGTGGCCTGGTTAGAGATCACAAAAATCTGATACAACCTTACCGGACACAGCAGGGTGGGGGTGACAGTGACTCCCACTCACATGAGGCACCTACCTTGATCCAATTCAGAGACAAAGTGGCCTGAGGTGGCCACAGACTGGGGAAGGAGACGTCAGTGATTTCAGGAATCGGAGTTCAGTGTGGGACAGCAGACGGGTTCCGTGGGCAGTCAGTGGCAGAAAAATGCACCCAGTAGAACGGGCTGGATTCTGGGCTTGGGAGGGATGGTCAAAATGGTAAATTTTATGTTAGATAGACTTAACAACACAGTAAGAGTGGGAGAACATAGTTGGCCTAATAGTTTTCATCTTAAAATTAGCTCGTTATCATGACAAAATGTTGAATATGAGGCGAAGTCACCCTCAAAACCTGCATTTCATTATTATTTTAAGGGCCGGCATTCATCCAGTTTATGTTCCCTCACTGCTGTCCCTACACTTGTACTGTGTTAGTTGTTATTGTCACCGAACGACAAAAAACAACTATGCAGCATAAATCAATTCACTTATGAGGCCTTTCTTTGGGGCCCAAGCACCCAAGTTACCAGGTTTCAGTTACATCGTTAATGTGAACCCTGCCTGCGGAGCTGAAGTTCAAGATTCCTGCATGGTTTAATTTAAGCTTTTCCTAAGGATGTGTCCAGGGATCACCCTGAGTTTGTGCCGACGTTGGGGGTGAATTTCCACACAGCTGCACACACGGCTTAATCTCCTTGCGTGCATGTGTGCGTGTGCGTGCGTGCGTGCGTGCGTGTGCGTGTGTGTGTGTGCGTGTGCGTGTGTGTGCGTGCGTGCGTGCGTGTGTGCGTGTGTGTGTGTGTGTGTGTGTATCACTGCTGAAGAAGCTGCAATTTTTGCAGCGTGTTCTACACGCTGGCCAGTTAGAGAAGCTGGTGCCCTGCGGTCATAGCTCCCAGACTTGTGCCAGGCAGCGGGGAGCTATGCATGGGATCCATGCCTAGTATCGCATGGATGTCCACAGACGGGTCACGGGTCGGCACTCACAAACCTTGGAGTGCGCACACACAGAGGGGGGGGGGAACGACAGGACACTTAGGAAATAACTCCCCGGGGGTTTGGGCATCACAGTCCGGATGGCAGGAAACACCACAGAACCAGTAACCTACAAGATAAGACTTATAGACAGACAGATGGTGAGTGGCTGCGAAGCATGACCCTTACTTGAACTCTAATTTGAATAAATTACATGTTCAAGAAAAAACTTATGTAAGCCATGGAGAATCAAACTGGTAAAATCAGGGAAGAATTTTACTATGCTTTTACCCCCCTTTTTGAAGGTTGGTTTATCCTGTTGTGGTTGTCTTTCAAGATGAGAATTTTAGTGTCAATGAGGTAGCATACTCCTTTAATCTGTGAGTTGGAGGACAGCCTGGTCTATGGCGATTTCCTGGACAGTCAGAGCTGTATAATGAGACCTGTCTCAAAAAAGATAGGAAGGAAGGAGGGAGGGAGGGAGGGAGGGAGGGAGGGAGGGAGGGAGGGAGGGAGGGAGGGAGGGAGGGAAGGAGAAGGAAAAGATGTGAAAAGATAAAATGTTTTATAGAGAAATGTGTAAACTCTAAAATACTTGGGGGAGGTGGGCAGAGGTTCTGAGAAACAGCCATCAAGAACGAATGGTAAGTGTTGAAGTTGAGTAGTGGATGATTAGGATTTGTGCCTAGGCTATCACATGATCCTTGCTTGAAATTATAAATTATCACCTTGACAAAGCAGCGCGTCTGCATATTTCCATATCAACATTCCACAAAACACTCAAGGTCAATGCAGGAGATTTTTGTGCCTCTGCGTTCAGGGAGTAGAGTTCTACAGTGTCTCTCTGCAGTGACGCAGGGCACTAATATGTTGACATTTATAAAACGGGACGGAGGAAACATTGGTCAGGGTCAGGGCTGTTTTCCCCACACCCGCTGTCTATGTCAACCTTGAACTTGGAGTGGTGCACTCCTTTTATGTTTCTGGGTGCAATTGAAGTGACGGTGTTGTGCGTATATTCAGTTTGCAAACTGCAGTATCAAAATTAATATCGCCTCTTAGCTTTAGCAGGGCTGTTAGGAAATTCAAACTCTCATCTGGCTTCTGTTATATCCCCGCCGTTTGGGGCCTCTCCAGGTGGGTGATGAGTTCAGCAGGCATGCAGGGCAATGCGTGTGATTTATTAGCCAAACGGAGACCGCTTTGACCATGGCGGTGGCATTTAAACAATCGCACCAGATCAAATTCGATCTGAACAAAGTCTTGCTCCTGTAGCTTGGGCCACTACGAAGGGCTGTGCATCCTGTTGTCAGTTCAAAGAGCTCCTTCCTGCTCCTGCACCCCGACCTGACCCCTCTTCTGTTGGAGAATGAAGACATCCGAGTTTGGAGTTCTAGGAGAAACCAGAAAGGGGAACAAGGAGAAGGAAGCCAGCAGAATTTCCCCCCCACCCAGTGAAGAAGCAGTCTGCTGAGACGCTTGGGGACATAACGTTGCCACCCTCCTCCCATTATCTTCCTTTCTTTGCCTCTTTATCCCATCACAAGCCGCCCCCACCCCCACCCCAACAGTCTCACCTCTAATTTCGAGCCAACAACACACAAGGTATGTGACAGCAAGACTGTGTGGCTGACGAAGGAGTCTCTCTTCCTCCTCTTCACACACAAGTTGGAAAAAAAAGCCAGGGACAAAGCCTCACCCACTGGGACGCAAGGAGCCCAGACAGGAACTTCTTGTCCTCACCACCGCTCCCAACTCTGCACACGGAGGAAAGACAAGTGCTCGATAACCCGTAACTTCTTTCTTCATATGAGACAGAGTCACATCTGACCGTGTGAGTGTGTGTGTGTGAGTGTGTGTGCATGTGTGTGTACGTGTACGTGCACGTGTGTGCGTACGTGTGTGTGCATGTATGTGTATGTGTATGTGCGTGTGTGTGTGTGTGTCAATGCAACGCTCCGGGAGTTGTCACTTCCCCGGGGGGACAGCAGCCTTTCCTTCAGAATGCTTGACTCTGGCATAGATCTCCTTCTAGGGAAAGTCTTCCCATCAGGGCAGCCGGGAAAAGATAAATGCGGTCCCCAAGAGAAGCCGCAAATGAGGGCCATGTGCTTTCACCTGCAGACAGAACACAGCATCTCAAGGTGTGTACTAAGATGCTCTGCGTACCCCACCCGTGGTGTGCTGTGGGCCACAGGCTTTACTTCTTCATTACGCCATCATCAAGGCTGCTGGAAATGGCCAATTCAACAGTGAAGAATGACTCCCGAGGGCAGTATCTGCCTCGTGCTGGCAAAGGGGCTTTAAAAACTGCTAGACTCTTTGTGTGCTCCTCAGCCCTCGGCCCCTGTGGCAGTCTGAGCTGCTCCCTGTGGAGGCCCCATAAGAAACACTTTTGAGGCTGGGGATATAGGATAAGGCACCATTCTGAAAGTTCTCCCCGGTGTGCAGGAAGCCCTGGGTTGGATCCCACGTGTGGTAGTGAACATCTGTGTTTTCGGGGATGTAGAGGTAGAAGGATCAAAGGTTCAGAACCAGTCTATGCTACTTCGTGGTAATGATAAAAACAAACAAACAAACAAACACGCACACGCACACACACACACACACACACACACACACACAAACTAGCCTGACTCTTCAGTCCAGTCAGAACTTATGCCTGTCAGAGAAGCTGGGACTGCTCACACCTGCAGGAGTCTCTTAATGACCCAGCAGCGCTGACAGTTCCAGATGGGTTCCCACAGGGCCTTCAGGACACTGTGAGGTAGCTACTTCCTTGGCTCCATATTAAGGTCAAAGCCAGCCCAGGATACATTAGATGAAAGAAAATAAGCAAGTAAAAGCATAAAACTCTAGACTTTATTTTTTGGGGGGCTGGCTTTTTCAAGACAGGGTCTCACTATGTAGTTCTGCCTGTCCTGGAACTCACTATGTAGAGCAGGCTGGACTCCAACTCACAGAGATCTGACTACCTCGGCCCCCTAGTTGCTGGGATTAAAGGCGTGGGCCACTACTGTCAGCTGTAACTCTAGACTTCTTGCTTCTGTCCAGGCCCACATGCTGATCAGGAAATGGACCAGAACAGGATAGCAGCCATCACTCAACACTCAACTCCAGGTCCTGGCGGTTTCTACTGTTCTCTACGTCATCTCTATCACTAGGTTGTGTGTCCGCTGTCACCAAACACTTCATGTCTGTGGCTAGCATCCAGAGCTGTGTCTTTGTGCAAAGATCGAAAATAAAGCTCACACTAAAAGGTTCTTGGTGTCATTTCACGTTCTTGGCCTGGTCCCTGCAGATATGACTGACTCAGTGCAGACAAATCCCCTGCCTCCTACAACCTATGGATCAGACCAACCCCAGCATGTGTCACACGAGTGCTTGCTCAGTGGACAGAGGTCATGACTGAAAACCCCACCTGCCGCCCCTGTATCAGTTCTCACGTACTGCAGATGAATCTCTCCCTGTGTTAAAACATGGCGTGGAAACCATCGACTTGGCTCTGGACCCTACATGTGAGCAATTTGGGCTGGACTCCATCGGGCTACTTACTCACCTGGGCTCAGGCATTGGCAGTCACCAGTGGGGCAGTGGTCTGAGTTATGTGTCCAGAGTTTGCTGGCTATGGGCAGAGACATGAAGGCAGCTGAGCTGTGTGCCCGTTACCCAGCATGCCTCCCTCAGGCTCATTCTTGTAATGGGAGCATGGTTTCTACCCTAGTTATCTGGGTCCCCCATAACAGACTAATAGACCAGGGGGACACCCAGACCAGGAAGTCAGTTTCTGTCAGTACGGACATTCAAGAGGCTGACACCAGCCGCGCTGTGTTGTGACTCCTTACAACTGGTTGATAGACAGCTGGCTCTCAGTGTCTCCTCTATGAGCATGCAGACAGGCATCCCCACACCTTGTTGCTTTGTGGGTTCAGGTTCTATCACACAGCCCAGGGTTCACCAGCCAGTGTTGGCACCAACTGGATCGGACCATCATGCAGAACCATGGGAGCCTAGGCCTGTGTCTCAGGATGCAGAGCAGTGGCCAATGGTCATAGACCATGTCTATTCTGCAGCCCCAGGTACGGCTTTCAGCGAGGTAACACTAGGCACTGGAGAACATTGCAGACTGCGTACACTGTCAAGCCAACATAAAGAAATGAGGAAACGGCATCTTTGAGGATTGACAGCAAACAGCTAGAATGACGTAGCATCAACAATCCACCCACTTAGTGAGCCAGTAAGAGGCTAACATGTGTGTTCACTGTTTCAGAGACTGAAGGAGACTCATCTGCCGCAGAGGCCTCTGCCTGTGGCCAACTCTCCGGTCCCATGCAGTCAGAGGAGTGCTGTCTGGGGACTGAGAGCAGCTGGGGCAGGGCGCACAGTGTCTGGGGCCAGGATTCTGGCTTTGGATTATCTCACCTCCCAGGAGGCAACACCCAGAATTACAACAACTTAGACAGAAAAGAAACTGCCTCAACTGCAAGATGTTTGCTTTTAGGGACTTGGGAGGTTTGCAGTTAAAGGGTGGAGGCAAGGATCCGGCTTCCCTCCCTGTGCCCTGGCCTTCCTCGGTATTGGCCTCATGGTCACAGTTATTCAATGCTTGCTGTCTAGATGCGTTGTCTCCCGGCCTGTGCATTGGCACACATGAAATGCATGAATTTATTCAACATTTGCCGGCTGGGGGCTGCTGGGTCAGGAAATTCTTGCTGACCTCCAGAATCCATGTACAAAGTGGGTGCAAAGGCTTACGCCTGCGGTCTCAGGCTGGAAAGGTGAAACACGAGGATCCCGGAAGATCACTGGCCGGCCCGCCTAGCCAAAGTGGCAAGTTCCAGACCAATGACGCTCTGTCTCAGAAAAACAAGATGCACAGTTCCTGAAGGACACCCAAGATGGTCTCCTGTCTTCTACATGCACACATACACGAACACACACACACACACACACATACACGCAAACACCACACACCACACAATAAATTAAAAATCGCAAGCTCTGGCTTCGTGTGTCACCATGGGATCTCCTCTTGCCACAGAACCACTGCTGATGTCACCCACGGTGATGACCTCACTAGAGATGAGCCAATGCTGAGGCCTTTGAACGTCCAGAGGCATGGACCAATAAAGCATCGTTTCTATAAAGGATCAGCCCTTGCATACCCAGCCACATCAACAGAAGAGGAGCAAATGCACCCACCTGGTGTCATTCTCCCTTTTCTGGGCAGCAGAGTCTGAAGTCCTCTGTATCACCTGCTGGATGATGGCTCCTGGTCGGGGAGGCCAACAGAGAGCCTCCCTCAGGCCCAGTGATGCCTGCACAACTGTTAAAGAGCTGAGGCTGAGGGGTGCGGCCCTTCCTCTCTCCGGGGGAATGCTAACTGGTCAGATATGGCTAATGGCCACAAGCTGCTGGGGACAGTCTACCCAAGGGGATGCTGGGGGAGCTGGCACAGACCAGCTTGGACCTGTCAGCCTGTCTAGAATGTGACCTTCATAGCTTTCTCCAGATATACCAGGAAATGGGATAGTGAGTCCCTGTGGTTATGGATGTGATGGTGAACCCCTGTAGTGATGCATGCGATGGTGAGTCCCTGTAGTGATGCATGCGATGGTGAGTCCCTGTAGTGGTGGATGCGATGGTGAGTCCCTGCAGTGGTGGTTTTGTTCAGTCACCAGCTGAGCTACGAGGTGTATAGGCTGGTAACACACACGTCTGTGCCTGTGGGGGTGTCTCCACAGATGACTGGCCGGTGGGAACTGACTAGCAGTGGGCAGACCTGCCTGCAGTATTGATTGACAGGCATCTTTTTCTTCTTTTCTCCTCTCTTTTTTAATTTAAATAGAAACAAGCTTCTTTTACATGTCAATCCCAGTTCCCTCTCCTTCCCCTCCTCCCCTGCCCCCCAATGATCCCCTATCCCATCACCTTTCTGCTCCCCAGGGAGGGTGAGGCCTTCCAACGGGGGGGATCTTCAAAGTCTGCCATATCATTTGGAGCAGAGCCTAGGCCCTCCCCCGTGTAGCTAGGCTGAGAGAGTATCCCTCTATGTGTAGTGGACTCCCAAAGTCCATTCGTGTACTACAGATAAATACTGATCTACTATCAGAGGCCCCATGGATTGCCCAGGCCTGCTAACTGACACCCACGTTCAGGAGGGCTGGTTCCATCCTATGCTGGTTTCCCAGCCATCAGTCTGGGGTCCATGAGATCTCCCTTGCTCAGGTAAGTTGTTTCTATGGGTTTCTCCAGCCTGGTCTTGACCCCTTTGCTCATCACTCCTCCCTCTCTACAACTGGATTACGGGAATTTGACTCAGTGCTTAGTTGTGGGTCTCAGCTTCTGCTTCCATCAGCCACTGGATAAAGGATCCAGGATGGCATATAAGGTAGTCGTCAATCTCATTATAGGGGAAGGGAATTTAAGGTAGCCTCTCCACTATTGCTTAGATTATTAGTTGGTGTTATCCTTGAAGATCTCTGGAAATTTCCCTAGTGCCAGATTCTTCTTTAAACTTATAATGGCTCTCTCTATTATGGTATCTCTTTTCTAGCTCTCCTCTGTTCTTCCCCTGACTCCATCTTCCTGCTCCCTCATGTCCTCCTTTTCCCTCCTCTTCTCTTTCTCCTAACTCCCTCTCCCCTCCCCCATACTCCTAATTAACTCAGGAGATCTTGTCCCTTTCCCCTTCTCTGGGTGACCATGTCTGTCTCATTTAGGGTCCTCCTTGTTTCCTAACTTTCTTGTGATATGGATTGTAGGCTGGTATGTGGGAACAAAAGACCTTGACCTGAGGCCCACTTCCCCATCAGCCTGGGAGAAGGCAGCTGTAAAACAATGTTTACTGAAAACAATTCAGTGCCCTAAGAAATTTTTACCAGAGCAATAAGGGCTCCCTCACTGAAACACCCTGACTTTGATTTTTCCAATGGCTAGCCGCCTCATTCTCCCGCCCCTTCGCTGCCGACTCTGGTGTCAGGGACATATAAGGCGCGGAAGCTTTTCTGGAGGGAAGTGTTTCTTGGGAAGTTTTTCTTGATCCTTCTTGGGGCCAGCATAAAGATTTCTTAATGCCACCACCGACTGGTCTCTGTGTCATCAATCCCG